AAGAGGAACACAGAGAGAGAAAGAGGGAGAGAGAGAGAGAGGAACACAGAGAGAGAAAGAGGGAGAGAGAGAGTGAGAGTGAGAGAGAGAGAGAGGAACACAGAGAGAGAAAGAGAGTGAGAGAGAGAGAGAGATCACACACGCGCAATCCACTCGATATGATGCAGCATTGACGGCACGGCTCCGCACTAACCTGACGAAAAAATATCTCTCTCTATGAAAAAATATGTCAGACTCGCGCACGCGAGCGAATACGTTAGGAAAAATTACAGTAGAAAAATCATTCGCACACACACATCATCGATTCCAATCATCCGTCTTTCGCGGCGAAACTCCGCGGCGCCCCCTGGTGTGGAAAAATTGCAGTGTCGCGGCACCAACAGTGGTTAGTGATCATGCGCGTGACCTCGGTTCGTCCGACGACCCATCGCTGTCCGCTGCCCGGCGCCCCCTGGTGTTTGCTTCGCTCATACGGCCCCCATGCATCCTTCGGCACATTTCTTGACCGCGTCTCTGGAAGAGGAATAGTGCTTCAGTCGTGATGTCGTGCGCTGGTCTGAGCTGCAACTGACCGACCAACCGACCGTCCATCCGTCAGTCCGACCAACCGACTGATCGACCGTCCGTCCGACTGAGGAACAAACGGATGGACAGTCACAGAGGCAGATTGGTAACCACACACGCACACGCACACACACACGCGCGCACACACACACACACACATGCACGCACACACTCTCCGTCCGACCATCCGTACGTCCGTCCGACCAACGAACAAATTCAAATTCAAATTTATACACATTTATTGTGCATCACACAGTGATTTATGCATATTATGATAGGTAACCACATATAAATAATATTTAATAAAGAACGAGGCTCTCATGAATTTATTCTGCACTACAAGACATGATTCTCACACTGTAACATGAGACGCGAGAGTTGTGGTCAGCGGGAAATAATTAAAAGAAGAGAACAAATGCCATACGCCATTTATCACCAATGCAATCCGAAAACCACAGTTTTCCGCACATAGGAATAGAAATAACACAAAACTTTATTTTTTAATAACTTCCATGTTATATTACATAGAAGTTTACAAAAACAGGTATTTACTATAAGTCTATTGACCGGTAAAAACTGCAATATACAAAATGTATTATGTACTAACCTTCCACATAAACGTTTGTGGTGGGTAACATTGCCGTGTGGAAAAGGCATCCACGCGAATTGAAGTAGAACACTTCATACATTACAAATTTACAGTGGAGGGTATCAGATCGGTATAGATTTCAAGGTGACAGTCAGGCGAAGAAGAAGAAGAAGCAACATGCACTTCCTGGTGACACGAACAAGCTCTATGATTTTTCAGGGCCATTTCTTGAAAAATGTGTCAAAGAGAGAATGCCTTTATAGAAAAGCGACAATTTCAGTCAGATCAGTGTTATGCCTAACTCACGTCGGACCTGTTGCACCTTCCATCTCCTACCACTTCTGCATTTTACCACATCTCCTCCACCCTTCAATCTACTCTTCCTCCTCCCCCTCCCCCTCCTCCTCCTTCACCGTTTACTCCTCTACCCTCCCTTCCTCTCCTCCCCCTTCAATCTACTCCTCCTCCTCCCCTCCCCTTCTCCTTCGTCGTTTACTCCTCTATCTTCCTTTCCTCTCCTTCCTGCCTTCAATCTACTCCTCCTCCTCCTCTTCCCCCTCCTCCTCTGTCGCTTACTCCTCTATCTTCATTTCCTCTCCTTCCTACCTTCATTCTCCCCCTTCAGTACACCACCTCTTCCCCTGACATATTCTACAAACCACCTCTTCTCCCTTCGTCCCTTCGCTTCCTTCTTCTTCTCCTCTACCTTCCCATACCTCTTCTTCTTCTTCCCTCCTTCAGTCGTCTCTTCCTTCGTCTCACTTATCTCCCTTACTCCTCTCCTTAGCTGACACAACCTACACCGACCTTCCTCCTCATCCTCCTCCTTCTCTACCTTATCCTACTTCCTCTCTTCAACTTGAACACTCTCCACCTCTTTCCTCCTCCTCCTCCACCTCTTCCTCCTCCTCTTCTGCATCCTCCTCCTCTTCCTCCTCCTCCTCCTCCACTTCCACCTCCTCTGCCTCCTCCCCCTCCTCCTCCTCTGCCTCCTCCACCTCCACCTTCTCCTTCTTCTTTTGTTGTATGACTAGTGCTACTTTTCACCTCACGTTTTCTCTTCCTTGTCATGTACTCACCTTCAGGGTAAAAAATACACGGGAGCGATGAGCGATCCGAAATCGCTCCCGTGAGGCTCAAAATAGCTCCCGTAAAATGTTTGACAAGAGCTATTTTTTCCACAGACTTTTGAAAAAGAGCTCCCGTGGAAAAAAAAGTAATTTTTCCCCGGTACTCACCTTGCATAGGGGATGTACGAGATCGAATACCAGAGCATCGCGACAAACTGTATGATGACAAAGAGAATCGTCAACCCCGGGTTGTCCCACTGCAAAGAAGCCATAAAAACAACAACCGTCAGTCGAGCATCAACCCTCAAAATACCCTCGAAGGGTGAATCGCTCGGAAAACTTAAAAAGTCGCACCCGAAAAAGAAATAACAAGTGCGATTTTTTTGCAGAGGATAAAAAATCGCACCAGTAATATTTTTTCCGTAATTGTAACATCATGCCGTGACAGTGACGACCATGAGTAAGAGTGTGTTCCTTTTAATGAGGGGTTGGGAAAAAGCGCCCCCGAAAAAAATTTATTTGAGGGTTGTCGAGCAACCACGAGATGGCGCTACCGTTCACTCTCCGACCACGATGCGACGTATTCCGTACTGGCAAATGCAAGCGCGGTGGCCACTGAGCGGCGCCACTTTTACATGCTTTCCTGCAAAATGGCGATTAATCGCTCGTATAACACTGCGAGAAATTAACGAACTCGACAATAGACTTATACAGTACACAATCTATTATCAGAAACCCTTGGGACCGGACACGTTTCGGAATTCGGAATTTTTTGGATTTCGGAATGGTAGTACAGTACAGATATATACATTATACCGTATTTTATCCTGCAACTAACCAGTACTAAAACCCAAGTTTTCAAGAGGCCAAGTGCTGTACCAGTAGAGTACAATATGTATGAGAAATGCCAAACCCATTCATATTTCTACAGTGAACATTGGGGTGATACTCCATTAGGAGTGTTCCCAACTTTAATGTCATTAATGGTCATAATAGCATATATACATATATATATATATGTTCCTCGTCATATATTAGTTTGTGGTTTAATGTCATTTAGGTTAGGGTTAGGGTTAGGGTTAGGATTATCAATCATTAATCATTAATCACTAATCATTAATGATATCAAAGTTGGGAACACTCCTAATGGAGCGTTAGCCGAACATTGTGCAGCCAAACGCGAGCTTTGGTGTGCAGACGACCTCCATGAAAAAACTTTCCGTTTTCAGTTTTTTCGGTTTTCAGAATTTTCGGATAATAGATTGTGTACTGTATGTCCACTATAGGCGAATGTATTCGACAATCATAGAATAGTACTAGAGAAAATCAGCCATGCCATAAGGGATTGCTGATGGAGGTCGTTTGTTTGTGCGAAGACTTTGCTTGTTGCCACAAATGTTTTTCAGGGTGGGACAAAAGGTTATGCTTCAGTGAACCACCCACTTGGTGTGACTGACAGTAAACTGCAGCCAATCAGGATTGCGGTAGAAAGTTGCAATTGTGGTAGGAAAGACAATGACGCTGAAGGGGTCATTGTCGTATAGGTACCCGAGGTAATGCTAGTCTAGGGAGTTGCCTACGCCTACTCCCTAACCCTAACCCTAACCCTAACCATATCAGATAGTTACCTCGGGCACATATATGTAGTACGCTATACGACAACGACCCTTCGTGCGACATTGACTGCCAAAAAAGTGCGACAGAGTCGAATCCCGCACACAGGTGGGAAACGTCACGTACGAGCGCGGGAAGCCTCGGTGACTTAGCAACAATATCTAAGAACGTGTTTGTTTGGTCGTATCCACGGATCTCGATCCACTGGATCCGTGGTTCCGACTGTTTGTTTGGTCGGATCCACGGATCTCGATCCACCGCGAACCCGACCCTGCTAGCGAGGTGGATTCGAACGCGATCCAATATGGCGGCCTGCGCATCAGCCAATCACAGCTTGTTCTTTGTTATGAACTGTTCAAAAGTGAGTTTGCGTTTGTTTGGGTTAGGGTTCGGTCCAGTGGATCGAGATCCGTGGATCCGACCAAACAAACACACCCTTAGGCATTATCTTGTTCAGATAGATGGGGCGGATTGCTTGCCCATCTTGTATGATTGCGCAATGCATAAACGTAGTCAAATAAGATTAAGTAAACAAAGTTATCTAAGTAAACATTAGTCAAACTAGACATAGACACTCACCCACAGTGCTGCCATCAGCGTAAGAACTAGCGCCACCTACAAACGAAAATAATCATGAATTCAACATACGTACACGTCCACAATCTAGCCAACTAAACACCGTTAACTAAGGTGTTAGTTACACATTAGCAATACTATGTACTTCATGCTTGACAACGACAGCAGTTGCCGAAAATGTTGCTAACAGGTGAATTAATTGGCCGTGGCTATGCGACCAGTTCCGGATGAGGAGCCACTAGGCTACACGTTCGGACATCCATCTCACACAGTGACCTTGCGACACGTACACGCATGATTGCGCAACGCGGGATGCTCTGCTGATTGCCGTGTGTGTGTGTGTGCGTGTGTGTGTGTGTGTGTGTGTGTGTGTGTGTGTGTGTGTGAGAGAAAGAGAAAGACAGAGAGAGGGA